TTTTTGAGCACATTTACGCACATACACACATGGAAAACACTAGTACTTGGACATAGCCACACACACACACCCTAAATATCAAACATCCCAGAATAGCCACAAGGAGCTTTTTGTGTCACCTGCAGAGTGTGTTCCATCATTCTACCGTCAGACTTTGCCAGAATACAGTAAAAGGCTGTCAAACACTTTGGCATTTTTACATTGCCTTTTGTGGCTTGACCTTTTGTGTGCAGTTTTGTTAAAAAAAAGTCAGTCCCTCTCCTGGGTGGCCAATAGATGCTTTTAAATGGCTGTGCTTTGGATATCTTAAACTTAATTTCCTCTCATTGCTAATATTTGTCGCTGTGGATGGATTTTTCTTGGCTTTATACTCGAAACATAATTGAGTTCACACAGGTAAAATGTGAGCAGAAAGAAGCACAGAGCTGGACTTTTATTGCTCCTGTATGTCCAGGCTGGATAGCTGAATGACTCAGACATTTCACACAGCTAGGGTCATGACTCAGTTAATTTTTCAGATCATTAATGTTGAATGGTTGATGTCTACATTGTTGGGGCTTCCCTCTTAGTCCCTGTTTACACTTGTTTTTTGCACCTCGGGGGATCGATCACAAGTGGACATACAAGTGTAAACAACCACCAAAGCGCATTTTGATCCAGTTACTCAAACAACTTGCCGAGGTGATCTGTGGTGCCTTTGACCACATATGTTTTGTAGTGCAAAATGTGTCCATGACAAGGATGGAAAATATGTCATGAATGCAGGATGCGGTTGATGCTTTGATGACAGCGCATCAATGCTCTATAACTTGCCCGTTTTTCAAAGAGTTGGACAAAGTGTCAAGTGACTGTCTATCGTCTTGCCCTATGGAAGAAGACGTGTTGGATTCTGCTGACAGCAACATCTCCAGCTGTACTGACAACTGCAAATGTGACTGACGAGGTACAAGGTCACAAAGAGGTGAAGTCAAAGCATCATATCGTTGGGGTGCATCATATAAAGTCTGATCAGCACTTGCCAAAAGGATCATAGAACATGGGGATGATTGATTTGTTTAAGGGGTACACAGTCAGCTTTGGGTCAGATTATATCGTATTTATTTGAAAATAAAGAGATGGGTTAGAGTAACACTTCTGCAACTATTGAACAGGTTCTCAATAAAAGAGCATAACAGATGCTTTCTTCTTGAACGTTCCATTGTTTATCAGCCACAATTCTTTCGAGCATACCCAGAGAGTTCTTTCAGGCCCAGCACATGCAAGGAAGCTATAGGAAAGGGCACCTGAGTGGACACCATCCTTTATTTGTAGCGCTGTCTACTGAAACCCTCCAACATCTCAGCTCCAGTTACATTGGGCATGTGTCTTACCCCATAGCTCTCATGGGATTAAAGACTGTGTCCGAGCCTTCATTTAATAGCCTTGGCCAGTGTGAACCTAATAACTGTGTGTGTGGCTCCTTTGACCTTCTAGTGTAAGTGATGGAGGCAGTAATGAAATCTGAACACAAGTGCTCAACCGAGGCACATGATAGGCAGGTCACAGGTGTGAACACGGACGTTTTGAAACCAGGTTTAAATGGGATGCTACATTTATGGACCTGGTCAGACTTGACAACATAAACTTTCTGAATGGGTCTCTTTGTATTTCCTCTTTGAAGGTTTGTGTAGCTGTGCAGTAGCTGGCAGGAAGTTAACGGGGAACAAAGCTGTTGCCCCAGCAGCACAATAGCAATGAAAAGGTCTGTACTTGTTTCGGCGCATTTCTGTTTACCTCAGTTTCTCTTGTATCTGCTCCCATTGTGACTCACCAGGTCTTTCACCTGGTGTTGACACCATTAAGCGAATAGATTTCAAGTCCCAGTGAGGATACTGACACTTGCTCACAGTGCTGCAGCTAAAAGGCTGTGCAGAAGTGTTGTAGAAACAACATAGATATACCTATGTGGTCAATTAAGCAGCAGGTTTACACAAGGTCTGCACTACCCTTGATCTGATGAATAAATCCTATTCTTAACAATTTTTGTTGCTTTTATACATAAAGTAGTATGACTTATGCACTGGTAATAATATTTACTCATGGATATAAGCTCAGACTGTGTGAGAGACTCTTCATATCCTCATTCTGAGACCTGTGTACCTAAACTTATCTCATCCAGATTCCCATTTACATTTTAATGCATGCAAACACACAAATGAAATACACTAAGCATCACACAATGGCCCTAGACTTGTTCTCTACAAACATTGTTCATTTTCTTCTACTAAGGCATTTTAGGGCAGTGTGTCCATTTGTTTAAGCATAATATGAAACTGGCATTTTGCTTTTCATTCAGTTTCTATTTTGTCCACATGGATTTCCCATGTGTTTGCCAGAATTGGGGGAACAGGGTTGCTGACAGCTGTGTGAAGTTCTGGAGGAGGAAACAGGTTTAGTGTGAATGAGTCATGCCTAACCTTTGACTGACAGACAAATACCCCTGTCAACCTGCCTGTCCATCTGCCTGTCCATCCTTTTCTTCCACTTTGCCTGCACACTAATAATAAACTCTACCAGCTGTACCCTCAGCAGCTGAAAAAGATATTTTGTATTCGTTAGTCACAGACATGCACACGTGTACCACTCTCTTATATGGCATGCAGGGTTGGGGAAACTAATCTTTTAGTCATTTCAACAGATGCATTAAATGAATAATAATTGACATATGGATTATGATGTCAGAAATAATGCTGATGATCGCTAGGATTTATTTTGTGTTATTCTGAACTCGCAAACATATTTGCTAAAAGTTAACTGCCTTATGTGCAACTCTGTTGTTATTTTTTTGTGCAAATGTCCAACTTTACTTGTCTTCTCCTTTCTGTAATCTTAACTATGGCGGCAGCTTGTCTCAGCTCATGGAGTCCAAGACAAGTTTCCCTTCGGGGACGATAAACCATCCATCCATCCATCCATCCATCCATCCAAAAGATACACCAAAAAGAGGAAGCGTTTTGTAGATTTACTCTGTTGGAGTGTTAGTTTGACCACAGATAATCATTTGTAATGTGATTATTTATTCCTGTTGTCACTGACTTGTTATCTGAATGTCAGTTTTGCTAGTTGCCAAGCTGTTGTTTGGAATCTGAACACAGAGAGAGCTCTGGGAATGTGCCCATGGCCATTGTTCACTGGCACTGCCGTGCCCGGCTGCCCGGTCTATCATGTTGGAACCATCCCATATGTTGCTGCCTCCATAAAAGCTTGTAGAAAATCAGATAGTTCTGGCTGCCTTTGTTTTCCTTTAGAAGTAATTGGATGACGGTTTATTCCTCTTGCTCCCTCCACTGCTTCTGAGCAGTTTAACCCAGGAGTGACTAAGCACCATCTCATGCTTTTAAGATGATGTTAAGTCAAGTCCAAATGGCATTTTGTGTAATATTGTTAGTGAATAGGGCTGAGTATAAGTATTTGGTATTTTAAGGGTGCTTTCACACCTGCCCTGTTTGGTTTGGTTCAATCGAACTCAAGTTTGTTTGCCCCCTAAGTGCGGTTTCTTTGGGCAGGTGTGAACACAGCAATCGCGCTCGGGTGTGTGCTCGGCCCACCACTGCAGCAGGTACAACCCATACAATCTTTGGTGGGGTGAAGTCAAGCACAGAGATGCAACCAAAATGTTGAAAAGTATGACTGTACCACATGCCTTTGGTGTCTGGTGGCATTTACACAATTGAATCTTTCATTTACATGATGGGTATCGAATAAGCAAGGGAAAAAAGGTATCAAATGAAGTACTCTATTGGTATCAGAATCACTTTAAGGGTACTGGTTTTGGCATTGGTATCTTATTTTCTCAACAATATCCAGCCTTATTAGTGATGGTAATCTCGGGCTACGTTTTAGTTTTCTAAATGCTTTGGCAAACATTCATTTGAAATTTATTTGGAAATCAATTACACCAATTATATGAACAAAACACAAACAAGCTTTTGTGCTTAATTATACAAGCAAACTCTTTTTCTCTTTCCTTGCACACCCATACACGCACACAGTGTTGTTTTCCATCTTCAAGTCCTGAGTCATGCTGTTGTTTAGTATCTTCTGGCTGGTGGCCCAGACTGTGGTCTCTAGCTCCCTGTGGATATTTGACAAGAAGCCAACAAGAGTGTCATCCCCCGATCCCCCCTCTCCTTCATCCTCCCGTCTTTCAGTTCCTTCATCCCTCCATCCGCTCATTTCTGTCAAGCTGGCCCACGGATACAAACAAGGGCAGATGCAGAGGGACACTTCTTGTCTGCCTGATACAACTGTTGAAAAACCATTAGCTTCCAACAAGCAGTGCAGGGCATTTTAATTCATATCACACTCGACTCAACCCCAGTGGATTTTTGATCATTCTAGTTTTTGAACTCGGCTATTTCCATTATTTAGTTTTTCTGTCAGTGGTCACCATGTCTCTTAGGCTTTGCTGGCATGTATTTATACAAACAAATACACACACACACACACACACACAACACACTCATTCTTAACACTTTCTTCACCTCGTCTCTTTTTCTGGGTTTGTCCTTTTGCTCATGTTTTGACTCAGTTTTATGTGTCATTTCACCATGGTCTCTCCAATATATGGCATACACATGCATGTGGAAATGTCAACACCCAGTGTGGGTTAAATTAGACATAGTCTTGAAGTTGGACATGTGAAATTAAAGGACAGTGATACAGCTCGCTCCCTCAGAGCACAAAGTCTACTGCAGTCTCAACCTGATGTAAGCAAATGATAAAAGCAATTTCAGGATGAGCCATAAGCAATAGCAAATTTCATCATTTTAATAGCTGGCCCTGTTGTTGTTAATGGATCCATAAAGTGCTGTAGTTACATTGTGAAGATAAGATTAGAGAGCCAGCTGGTTCATTTATTTAAATTATGACATGGATGAATAGTTCGGAGAAGAAGTTTGTTATAAGTATATCTCTGCAACCAGAGCTAACTCCTCTCCCCTTCCTTCTCTCCTCTCCAGATACAAGCTGATTCGCCGACGAGTCATCTGGCTAATAGGACAGTGGATCTCTGTCAAGTTCAAATCTGACCTCCGACCTTTACTCTACGAGGTCATCCTGAGCCTCATGCAGGATCCTGATTTGGTGGTAAGGCAGCAACAGACACAACATCAGTGTTTTTATTTATTTATTGTGAACTGCTTATTATGACTGGGGTGGCAGCTTCCCCAGAAAACATTTGATTTTTCTGTGCATGAAATGGGCCCTTTATGAAAGTGCACAGTCAGCCACACAAACACAGTTCTCAGTTTAACAGCACGGAACCGCAGCTTTTATGCTGCCAACTTTCTACAAACAAAGCCAAACACAGTCAGTCAGGGATTGCTGGAAGGTTTTGCCATCTGATTTAGATTTTTTTTTTTTACAGAGGTAATTACTTTAAATAGTTTGATTAAGATTGATTAAAAAGTGAAACCTTTCATTCACTCATTAACATTTTTATTCAGCCATGGCTTTGATAAACTGCTGTGTGATCCTATTTGTGGAAAAGTGGCTATTATTATGCCCTAGTCATCCTCAATTCAAATTACATTTCGCCATCCTTGGGTTTCTTGCCTCATGAGCCATGCACTTGATTGATGTGTTTTCTTTTAGCAGAATTATAGGAAGGAATGTGAAAAATTCCATGCATTATTTACAATGCATTTCAGCATAATCTCGCCATTAGATTGAACCGTTATGAGTAACTGGGTTCAATTTCTCTGCGTCTAATTGCCTCTCTTATTTAATAATCCATCTTTATGTGGAGGAACTTTCAGATGTTTGTTTGCGTTCCTCTTTGTTGCAATACACAAAAAATCTGATTATAATGTAATTAAGATTATAATATAATTAAGATAATAATACATGTATGGCAGAGCCCACGCAAACACTGATCTGATTATATTGTGATAGATGGAAGCAGAAGCTTAGTGACATTTGTTTAGTGATAATTACATGTCCATACATATGACATGCATCATTTATCATCTATTTTATGTACTTTGTATGTAAAATTAAGGGTACAGAACGCTCACGGAGACACTAAATAGTATAGATAGGTCTAATATAATATATATAATATAATATAGATAACAATTAACTGAGGCAGATTACATCTCCTGCATTTCATTATTTCGGCTTTAAAGCAACCCAAGGATGTTTCGATCGCAAAAATTAATGCAGATTTAACCAATTCCTGGAACTTTTCTGCAAATTTGACCAATCTTTGTAGTTTCCTGCATGGTTCACCAATCAAAGCAGTCCCCTGCTTAATGTCGTCAACTCGCTTCCTTGTGTCTGGTTGTGAAGACAGGTAGGTTTATCTTCGACTACAGGCACACTATAGCCCCGTTTCCACCAAACACTTTAATTATGGTACCTTTGGAACCAAAAGTAAGCCTTTAGACATGGTACCTAGACTCTAGTGTTTCTCACCACAAACAATACTCTTAATTGTGGATTAGGGCTGTCAAAATTGCTCAAAAATGACATTTGAATATTCCTTCTAAAAATAACTCATAGGTTCGAACCATTCAATTTTTTTTTTTTTTTTTTTTTGCATTATGTCCACAAGAGGGCAAACTAATACAAGGAAACATACTTGCATATGTATTAATACAAGGAAACATAACTACTTCTAGGTATTTTTATTGCAACATAAACGTCTTTGAAAACATTTACATACCTACACATTAAAACACATAAAAAAATTATCTATAGCATTACGTTATAAACGACTACGGACCTCTCACTCGCCCCCTATGCTATTTAAAAATAGCTCTGCAATGCTTTTCTTTTTCTCAGAGTGAGGATTAGAATATATGCAGTTCACATAATCCGGCCAAAATTAATATATATGAACACTTGAAGATCCACTGATTACTAAAAGTGTATGTTATATAGAAACTAGTAATGGTCAAAGTTGTTAAAGTGAAATTTAAGGTATGTTGGTTGAGTCATGTCTTCAACTTATGCATTGAGTAACATTACAACTTAACGTTCCACCTTAAAAGTCGCCAGCAGTCAGACCAGTGAATTAATTTTTTTTTTCTCTGACTCTAGCTCCTGCGAGAGGCAGCAAAACATCTTTTCATTTTATAGTTACAGTCAAGAAAACTCTCCACTAGTGTTGTCACGATACCAAAATCTTTGTTTCGGTACCAATACCAATATGAATTTCGATACTTTTCGATACTCTTCGGTACTTTTCCTAAGGAAAAGTCCTTTTGGATACAAACCTTTAGAACAATAAATAGTAGGGGTGTAACGGTACCAAAAAAAAATCATGGTTCGGTCACTACCTGGGTATGGACGTCACGGTTTGGTAACTCAAATGTCCCACCAAGTTTGTGTTGTCTCGTGTTGTCTCCCTTTGCGAGGCAGACTTTCTCTTGTCTTTTTTCACATGCGCCAGCTGCGAATGTTGATACAGGTGTTGTCATACACACCACTTGTGCAATCTGTGCTCCAATAGGAACAAGAAAGGCATTTGTGTGCATTGAGTAAAATAAATTAACTAAATTAATGAACTGAATCAATTTCAAAGTACCGGTATTTTCCAAATGCAGTATAGTACCGCTTGGAATACTCTAGTACCGCGGTACTATTTTAGTACCGGTATATCGTGCAACACTACTCTCCACGGTATGAACAGTGGTTACATGAGCCTCAAAACCAGCCACAACTCAGCCCTGAGCAGAGTGACCAACTGCTATTGACCAATCAACAGACTGCAGTGTCCACAGCTCCACCTTTACCTAGGTACCCCAACAGAGGGGGGACCAAAAATGGGGACGATACGGAACGGTTCCATTGGTACCATCCACAACTTTTCACAGTGGAGAAAAAAAAGAAGTTCACTGAACTGAACTGAATGGTACTGCTCGGTGGAAAAGGGGTTTTTGGTTAAGACCCAGACACACCAAACCAACATCACCTTATACTAAAGTGGGTATGTCATGTATTGAAGTGGGTAGTCTGCGAGACTGAATGTCTCACATTTACCAACAAAAGTTACTGCTCAAGAACGTTAATGGCCATTCCCTGGCGGGGGTGTACGACATTGTAGTGGAACACAAACAACAGCGACTGACAAACAGTGCTTTATCTCAGAACACTTGGAGAATGGTTGAAACACATGTACGCAGACAAGTCAGCATGACCATCTTTGCACCCAGAATGAAATATTCCAGGTTAGGGGTAATGTTAGTGTGTAAATAACACACTCAGGACAGTGCAATTTTCTTGTCACGAACAAGTGACACACAAATCACAACCTTTTTCCTTTTTTTTTTTTTTTTTTTTGGGGCCTGTCTGCCTGATATAGTAAATTGATTGATGACTGACAAAGTAAAATGATTAGCAGGCAGCTGCAGTGGAATTAAACTTGTGTATATAGCATTATCTACATTTAGCCAGTTATGTCCATACACCCTTTACATGTCACATAGGTCCCCAGGATCTCATTTTATTTTTAGTCACATTTAATTGTAGGTAATTACATGTATTATTAGGTTTTCCATTTCACCATCATTTTATCCCCCAGTGAAGCCTCATGGATAAGGAGATAGAAAGAATTACATTTTACATTGGTGTTACATTACCATATCATATCTGCTTAACCAGTCAAGCAAAGTTATAATTTAAATATGAATATTATATAAAATATTATAGTCTTTTTTTTTAATGTAGTGCCATACATTTGAATTGATTGAAGTTTTATGAGGAGAGTAATGGCTCTTAGGGTTTAAAAGGTCTTTCTTCACACAAGCTTGCTGTTACACCACTGAGCAGCTCACCAATCACGCTGTGGTTCCTGATCAATATCGTCTAGGCCAATTAGAGACTCCGGGGCAGAATTAATTATTGATCATAAACTTTTAATGGGCTAATGGAGAAAACTACTGTCCATCAATCAGTCCAACTGGTTATCGATATCTGTTGCTATTCTGCACTCCTTATGGTTCAGATGGAAAGTGAATCATGTAGGATAACAGTTATATTTATCTCTGACATTTCAGTTTGTGTACTTCATTGAAAAAACGTTGACGTGAGACATTTATTGATTCGCTCCTGTAAGCATGCGTCTGCTGGGCCTCGTAAGCATGAAGCTGCCACGCTTTAATATTGAAAGAGTGTAAGTAATGACAAGGGTGTCAGAAATACTGATAGCCTCAATAATGTTGAAAAAACTGAAGAGTGAGTAGAGTTATCGTTTTATCAAAGTGATCATTAGACTGCTGGTGGGCCAAATGGGTTTCAGATTAGGTGCCCATAATGAAATAAGTTAATGTCAGAAAGTTGTTTGAACTAAAAGCGGTGCCTTTGATTTCCTAGAAACGGCACTTCTCAACTGTCTTATTTAATAAGGATATGCTTTTTTGGTGGAAAAGGAAACACCAGTTCCTGACGCTGTGGGATCTTGCCTGACCTTTCATGTGCCTGTCCAGTGTTTTTCCTTATTTTTTAAATTTCTGCTGTATTGTCAGCTTTTGGAAACGCCCGGCCCCGTGTCTTGCACACTTTTTACTAACACCAGTTCAGGTATGTTAAAGGGACAGACAAGGTAACAAATGGCATGAACATTCCCTCTCAAACCCTCAATACTTATTCCCATTCAACAAAAACCACCCACAAAATGCCTTTATGAACACTCCTGTACCCCCCACCCCTTATGGTGTCTATTCAAATAAACATCTCACACCTGACTGCTGGAGCACTGGTTGTCGAGACACTCAGTACTTTTACCTGCAGTTTGAGAAAATCAAATTATTGGCTTAGTCTGACTGAAACCGGACTTTTAAATGCATGTAAACAGCTTAGTCCGACTGAAATTGGACTATCCGTAGCTCGACTAACACACCTAGGTAATTCGATTGAAAATCCACTTAGTTCGACTGGAGTGGGACTTGGTGTTCTGCGCATGCACCACTCTTTCTTTCGCGGGCTTTCACCCGAAAAGAAGGAGTTGACGTAGCAGCAGTTTTGTGACGTCTTCCTTCAGACAACACGGCAACCAAAGGAGTCATGGTGGACTGCATTTGTAATATAATTAACACGTAAAGCATGTACGAAACATACAGAGCCATAGCAACATCCATCTCCGC